CTGCATATTTTACACACAAGAAAAGATAAGAGACCTTCAGAGATTATCAGTGGAACTTTAGTTAGAAGTTCCTCGACTCCGACGACTCGAGATTCGAAACACGACCCTGGGTACTTTCTCCACGGAAATGCAATTATCGAGGCTTAAGTAGAGTTTACAAATATTTAGAGCTATTCGCTGTTTGAAACATCATCAAATCAAGATACAAAGAACTTGACCCGCGATTAACTTTTTCACAGCCAAGAAAATCAAACCTCGCAACTAATCTGCGATTCTCGATTTTCTTAACGATCGAGGATGGGGCCTCCAAGTCGACACTATCAAGTTACGTTTAAACAATACAGTACATCTGTCCGTCTATGAATCTGTATTTAAATTGTTTAAATTTGTTTTAATCTATCCACATTATCGCCTTCGTTCCGACTGTCACATGTAGAAACGTTCGTTTTGAGGCTGTAAAGTAGTTTGTTCCCGGCTTTCAGTTGGAGAAACCGAAGCGAAGTAGAGAACGGTGCGAAAAAATCAGATACGAGTCGTTACGCGACCCGACCCAGAGCTCTCTCCCTTTTCTCACTTCTCCGCTTCAATCGCTCGGTGTACTAACGCGCTTCGTTTAACAAACTAAATGCCTGGACCAGGCTAAGTGTAAGTTAGGTCCCTTACCCTATATCCATCAACACTTCCTCTGGCTGGGGCATCAACAGGCTGCCATGAAAGCTCCACACTGCGCGCTTGTATTTTCCCCACCTTCACATCTTTCGGTTGGCCTTGAGGAAGATTTTGGCCAGAACGGGATCGTTCGATGGCACTGAAGAGTCCTGGGCCCAAATTGTTCCCGGCGCGAATCCTAAACTCCCAAAGCTCATAGTACCCAGGATTGTCGATTTTAAAGGAGGACGCTTCAGCGGGGATTCTGGTGTCTTCCCATCTATCAGGAGCATCTTCTTTCGCCGTTTCTACGACTTTTTTGTACTCCAAGAAATAGTAAAATCCGGGTCCGTTCCAGTAGACCTGTGGCATTTTCTGCCCAATTAAAATTAATTCTTCTATTCAATTCAAATGAAAATCGGTGCAAATTCTACAATAGAGCGTTTTTCGATCGAGTGTCATCAAACTAAAACCAAAGTTATCACAGCAGCCAATCAGAAAAAAGGAAAATACGTTCAAGAGCCAATGAGAACTCATATTTGAGATGATCAAATGGCCGAAAGCGCGGGAAAACGCGAGCGACCAAACGCTAACGACCAAGTCGTGACTGGTTTTAGTTTTGCATTTGATTGGTCGAGAAAGTGGCGCGAGTTTCCTGGACCAATCAAAGAGCAAAGTAAAGCAATATCAAAGCAATCCAGGATTATTTCCAAGTCACGTGGTGAGCTTCGGCCAATCAAAAGGTACTTACCGTCCAAGCAATATCAAGTTCACTAGCCCCCTTTGGTACTCCACGCAAGTTCTCTGGGAATTTCTCTGGAGCTGTAAGGAAAGCAGGCAGAAGTCACGAATAAGCTTTGTGGTCGAAAAATCTCGAGTTTTCCTTCTCCCTAGTTTTGTTTCCTTTTATGGATTTCTATGGACATTCCAATTTATTTCGCTTATTTTGCGAGACAAAGGTGGTTCCTCTAAAATGCAGGAAATTGGCGCATGGGCACCCAAAATTGATCCCCTAGCGCAAGCATTACGTTTAACCGCTGTGTTCGCACACAAAAACACAAACACACCTGACTGAGATGTTCTACAAATTCCAGGCTCTGTGGAGAAACTAGGACGACTTGGGCCAAAACTGTTTACAGCTCTCATGCGGAAACGCAGAGTCGACCAGCCGGTAAGGTTAAGAATCACGGATGTTGCATTTGGGTTTGTCTCATTGTAGAGGAGATAAAACACATCCGGTTCATGGTTCGATTCCTGTTCAATCAGGAAGTGCAAAATGGGAGCATCATCGGAGGATACCGTAGTCCATTCAAGTACTGTTGTCCGATTGATGCACGTTTTCTCATTTATCTTGAGGTTCGTGGGAGGGAACGGAACTACTGGAGAAAAAAAAAAGAAGATGCGGTTAAATACTGCAGATAAGTTAGTGAACAAAAGTTGACCTAATTAACCACTTGAGGACTGCGATTTTTTCTCTCTTACTTCTATTTCTACTTCCAGGTCTGTCAATAACTACCTCTTACAAGCTGTGTTCAAGTATCCACAATTGGAATGAGACAATCTTCAAAAAGTTCAAATGCTCGTTGGGGGTGGGAGGGGGGAACGTTGAAACTTTGAATTACTCGATGCATTAACAAGAACAAACCTTGAACATAAACTTTAGCTGACGCCTGGTCTTCCGACTTCCTAGGCTCAGGCGTGTAAGCGACACAGGTGTAAATGCCAGCGTCGTTAACACTTATATCGGAGATTTTTAAAACGTTTTCTTCTTCCAACCACTCTATCTTTGAGTTGTACTGAACAACTGCATTATCTCTCCTCCAGTAATACTTCAGTTCCAGTCTTGAATCGGCCTCAGCCCGGCAACGAAGGTCAATATCAACGCGCTCTAGAAGAATCTTGTCGTCTGGTTTAACTGTAATTCGTGTTTCTTCTGTGGCAAAGAAAACAATAGACAAACCCCTTGACTCCGATGACTGACTTACACAGAATTTCTCCCTAACGACAAATAAGGTTAATCCAACAGAACCAAACAATACTTTAATTCTTTCTCTGGACAGGTTGTTCCCGTCAAGGTTGCGTGAGAGATTCCTTTCCAAATTTCCCTATCAAAAATCTTTCTTGAAAAAGAAGATAATTTATCCTTCCTGTTCGAGTATATAAAAGCTTCTTCCAGCNCTTATTCATTCATTCATTTGCCACTTACACACACATACAAAAATAAATTACAGTTGTTTACAACAATCAAAAATAATACCTATAACAATATCATTATACAACAATCTATACTTAAAATTACTATTTATGATCATTTATAAAAAAGTGTGGCGAGGAAGCCCTCCCGAAGCTAGAAGCTTATCAGACCTGGTTTCCTCACACGATGTAAAAGAGGGTCTATTATAGTCTGGCGGTTTGGCGGTTTAAGCCAAGTTTGAGTGCCGCTTTGCAGTTTCATTCACATTTATCTGGCGGTTTACGGTTAAGAAATTATCGTGCGGTTACGGTAAATCATAAATTTAGCTCGCGGTTTCCGGTTTTTTCGTGTTTTTGTGGCGGTTATTCAAACAGAGTTAAGAGGCTCAGAAGACTGAGCGGTAACTTTCTCTTGCTTAATTAAAGCTTCTCTCTTTAACAAAGGATTGCCTTTTAGAGCTAGACCAGGTCAGTCGGGGCTTCCCTCTGTGTCCCCGGCCATGTGGGGAGGGCTGGGGAGGTAATTTGATATAAGGCCAGGCTTCAAAGCTTTGAAAGGGTCGCGAAAGCACGTGGAAAGATGGCGGACAATGTGGCGAATGTCAACATAATTAAATGTGTTGCCTTATTTTACAAGCTTGGGGCAGCGCCAAATTCGCTATAAACATCTCGAGCAATCTTTGTGTTTGTGAACAGCCCATTAGACGTCAAAACCTTTTTCTTCGCTGGTTACTGAACGGAGTTCTATACAAACAATTTGTTCTGTTCTTAATATCTTGTGGTCTTTGTGAGGAGAAATACGATTATTTAGCTAACTTATCGCAAAGAATTTGCTACGTGCTGTTAAAAGATCGGTTATGAGGATAATCGTCCTACTTGTAGGGCGGTGTCGGTTTTTAGAAAAAAAACCAAATCGATTTGCGGTTTCGAAGGAACAAAACATGGCGGTCTACGGAATGTACGACCCCCTATAATAGACCCTCGTAGAAGATAGATTTGCTAATTACGGGCGGGTGAGTTTAATTTAGTTTTCTTTCAATGCGGAATTTTTAAAGCGAAGTCTTTAAAGGTAAAGAAGTTGTAGGATAAGATAAGATCATGAGGTAAGGAATTTCAAACCTTTGGACCTTGGTGCATGATTGTAAACTTCTTGATATTAGTTCTGCAATAGTGTGTAGAGCAGTTTCTATCATTCTGAGTATCGTGTGCAA